GTATGGCTCACAGTACTCTCTGTTGTCTAAGACCATATACGCTTTACATCTGATGTGCTGTGAATTAGTAGAGGAGACAGACTCTGGTAAAGTGGTGGCATGACATGAAAACATGAGCAAATTTAGAGCAACAGTGACTTTCAAAGGTGGGGTTAAACTGTTTCTTGGCACATTTTAAGAGCCATTTCTATATTGAGACATATTCAACAAGTTCAGACACTTTCTGGTATTTGTGTGTTTTATTACAGATACTTAAAGGTGCACTTCAGTCAAACATGAAAATGCTGCATTAAAAGAACCCTTTCCCAAGAGTAACATTGCTGGCTTCTCATTTTAAAGATGTGCTTGGCTGTTAATAATCTAGATCAGCACGCAGACAAGAACTTCTGACATGCCTTATCTGCACGCTTCATCTTGGTCAGTGAAATATTTGAATCATATGCTTAACATAACCGCCATAAGAAGCTAGCATTTTCAGAAACAATTGTAGCCCCTATATTTCTCTTTAGTATAATTAAGATAGTTAAAAGGAGAACTATGAGGTGAGTGCTTTTCACTCACCTCATAGTTCTAGCCGACCTGTGACAATGAGACTGTCACAGGTCGGCTCAGTAGATCGGGAGGTGAGCGAACACATACCGGTTTTATCTAAAAATGTAAGTAGTATATTGATGAGAGAGGGGAAGGAGGAACCCAGGAATATAAGCCTTTTAGATTGTAAGCCCTCACGGGCAGGGCGCTCCTTACCATCTTGTCTTGAATTGTATTGTGATTCTAATGTCTTCCTTATATTGTAAAGCGCTGTGCAAACTATTGGCGATATATAAATCCTGTATAATAATAATAATAAGCAGATATAACTTCATCATTAGCTATATACAGTTGTAGTCAGACTTTCAGTACATCAACCAAAAACTGGAAACTGTTACAAACCTGGGCAATTCAGATTGAGCATTATAAAATAATTTGCATAAGCAGAAGTTAAGGCTACCTTCAGTGAAAATTGCATGGGCTGCTGACAACATAAGCAAATATTGATTTTTCCTAGTTCTGCCCCTCCTGCCTCGTGAGCTCCTTTATTTAATATGATGGGTAACCTAGTTGAAAAGCAAGAGGAGGCTAAGGTGGCATGGATGGGTGAAGCCAAGCTCCATTTTCACAGAAACAGCCATGATTTGAACATTATCTAGCTGCAAATATTTCTGGACCTATGGATTGTTTGCCATCTGGTTTTCACTGAACGTAACTTCTGTTTATATTTTTTTATCATATGATCAGTTTGATTTGCCTAGACTTGTGACAGGTATTGCTTTACAAAGCAAATTGTGTATTAAATCCAATTTTTTTTAAAAATGTATTACTTCTTTACCTTGCTTTACGGCATAAGATTTATCACAAAGGTGGCCTCTAGTATTTTTGATACTTCTAGGTAGTTGTAAACCTCACCAGACCATTTGATTAATCATAATGTGCAAAGTTCTGAGTTATAGGCAGTAAGTTTACTAGTTCTTAGCATTAATTATGAATCAACTGTGTTACTGTGGACCTTGCATGAAAATGCAAGCAAGGTCTGCTTTTCTGCACATAAAAAAACAAACGTTTCATTAGTGGTAAGAAAAAATAAACAAAGATACTTATCTTGGACCCTGATTTCCAGCCACTTTCTGAAGGTGCTGAGCCTCATTACAACCTTCTTAGAAAGCTCAATACCGAAGAATCACAGTAAAATGTTTTCCTGCACTGTCGGCATTCATCTTAAGTAACATTAAAAGAAGTGTTTTTCCCCATACTTCTGTTTAGGGTCATGGGAGGACATATACTAACCTCCCCCGTGACCCAAAGCTCAGTATATACCGGGCTATTGCCCGCAATATACTAAGAGCGCCGCAGCCAGGACGGATCCCGACAATACTGTCGAGATCCACCTAGCTACCTGAGTGACAGCTGGCTCTGCCTGTCTAGAGGTAGAGCCAGCTGTGCCCGCCCCCTCCGCCATTCCTTCCTCCACTCAGTGCTGGAGGATCGGAGAGGGTAGGGGGGAATCCTTGCGGGGAGCGGTGACTGAAAGTCACCGCTCACTGCAGGGAGATGATTGGGAAGTGAGCGGATCGGCGGCATGTTTCTGCCCGCTTCCCGATCGAAAGAGCCGACCTGTGACAGCTTCTTTGTCACAGGTCGGCTCTAACTATGAGGATAAGTGGAAATCACTCACCTCATAGTTCTCCTTTAAGTCTAGATTATAGCGTATCTGAACCCAAAAAAAAAAAAAAGTATATCGTAGCTTACCAATCCTTAGATATGATGGCTGCATTAGTTTACTTTTTCCTGATTTTTTTTTTCCTTTATTTTTTGCCTGGTGCTCCTGCCAGTAACACTTTCTGCCCTAATGTCACCCCATGCTGCTTTCCTGATTTTATATAGTTACATAGTTACATAGTATTTGAGGTTGAATAAAGACACATGTCCATTAAGTCCAACCTATTGTGTGTGTGTGTGTGTGTGTGTGTGTATAGATCCCTGAGTCATCTCGTTATTAGGAGTACTTGTACCCCTGTATATTACCGTTTCTCAGGAAATCGCCCAAAAGCTCACCCTCTCCTTATCTTCATTACAAAGAGGTGAATTGTTTTGTAGTTTACAATACACTACAATAGCTGAAAAAGATGGTAGCATGAGATCTCAGTTCAAGGCACAGAAAGTTACAAGAACACACCATTTCTATCAGGACCAATAGGATTTTTTTCTGTACTTACAAAACATGTACTTTGCTTAAAAAATAAAACTCATGCAGACACCATATTTAAGCACTGGTAAGCTACAATATACTTTTTTGTTCATGGGCTAAGATATACCTAAACATGTAAAGTATTTAACCTATTGGTATTACGAAATGTGTATATATTACTTTTGAACAATGTTCTAATGTGTGTTAAGGTACATACAGCAGTGCAGTAGCTATGCAGACCACCAAATACTGCCCTGTAGCAATCAAATTTTTTTTAACAAAATACATGGAACTGTTGAATGGTGAATTGATAAATATTGCCCACTACTCTTTTTTGCCGTTGAAATGGAGCAAGCTATAGCCCAGGAGGGTGCAGCTACCAAGGAGGGCTCCTTTTTTTCATTGAAAAATTAATATCAAAGTACTTTTTTGTATGGCTCACAGTACTCTCTGTTGTCTAAGACCATATACGCTTTACATCTGATGTGCTGTGAATTAGTAGAGGAGACAGACTCTGGTAAAGTGGTGGCATGACATGAAAACATGAGCAAATTTAGAGCAACAGTGACTTTCAAAGGTGGGGTTAAACTGTTTCTTGGCACATTTTAAGAGCCATTTCTATATTGAGACATATTCAACAAGTTCAGACACTTTCTGGTATTTGTGTGTTTTATTACAGATACTTAAAGGTGCACTTCAGTCAAACATGAAAATGCTGCATTAAAAGAACCCTTTCCCAAGAGTAACATTGCTGGCTTCTCATTTTAAAGATGTGCTTGGCTGTTAATAATCTAGATCAGCACGCAGACAAGAACTTCTGACATGCCTTATCTGCACGCTTCATCTTGGTCAGTGAAATATTTGAATCATATGCTTAACATAACCGCCATAAGAAGCTAGCATTTTCAGAAACAATTGTAGCCCCTATATTTCTCTTTAGTATAATTAAGATAGTTAAAAGGAGAACTATGAGGTGAGTGCTTTTCACTCACCTCATAGTTCTAGCCGACCTGTGACAATGAGACTGTCACAGGTCGGCTCAGTAGATCGGGAGGTGAGCGAACACATACCGGGTTCGCTCGCCTCTCGATCCTGTCACGTCTCTCTGCCGTGACAGGGGGAGGGGATGGATTCCCCTCTCCCCGCTCCGATCTGCCAGCGCTGACTGGCGGAACGGACGGGGGAGGGGGCGGGTACAGCTGGATCTGCCTCTAGATAGGCAGAGCCAGCTGTCACTCACGCAGCAGGGCGGATCCCGTCATCTAAGTCAGGATCCGCTCCGGCTGCGCGTCTCAGTATACCGCGAGCTGTAGCTGTATACTGAGCTTAGGGTAACGGGAGGACGCTAGTTTGTGTCCTCCCGTTACCCTATGGAGAACTATGGGGAAAAACACTGACCCCATAGTTCTCCTTTAATAAGTTACATTGTTTATGTTAAAACTTACTCAGGGGATACTGGCTACCTGCTAAGTTGCTGTAATTTTAATTTGAGCATTCATCTTGTTATAAGGTGCTTTACTATCTAAATCCCATGGTTGCTGGTATCCCTAAATTCAGACATGTAGACTAAGAGTTAAATGAAATTGTAAAATTGACTACCACATCGAGAGAAAGGTTTATTGTAGCCAACTAAAACAGGTAATTTTTCATCTGTCCAATCCTGCACCTGTGTTAGCTATTTCTGTGCTAATATTGTGCAGCACTTAAGCTGGCCATACACTATGTAAATTTCTTGATGAACCAGCTAAAATGTGCACAGAGGGTGCCACCGTCTACACAATTTCGTCCTGCATCTCTCGATCAACTGATCGAAGGAGCCGTTTGGAAAATCTTACAACGAACAGAGCCGGCAGCCAATCAGCTGCTGGCTCTGTTCGGGTATTCTGACAGCAGCCGGGGCTCATTGCTTGTATTTATGATCGCTGAACAGGGCAATTATAATACTAGGAGAGGGAAGGGAGATGTGCGCAAACATCATGTGTTAAATTTATGTACTGCCAACATGCATGTATTTAGTTCGGCATTTTAGTGTAAGCAATGATAGGGCTAGTTACTAAAGTATGTGTGTGTGCGTGTGTGTAGATAGATACTTCCCACCTGTATTTTCATATTTCCATAATCTGAGAATGTATTTAGTGGTAAGTGTTCTGGTTATTTTTTTGCTGACACTTGCATCGTTTTTTCTATACCTTCAAGTGGCTAAATATATGTTGCATCTCTTCTTTCCCTTTTTGCGTGCCTCTGTCTCCCCCCATGCGCATGTTTCTATACTCAGACCCTGGCTCCCCTAAGAAATGCAGAGCTCGCTTTGGCCTCAACCAACAAACGGACTGGTGCGGCCCATGCAGGTGTGTATGAAGAACTATCTTGTCTGCTTTTTTTTTGTTGCTTTTATTCCTCCAGCCTTCTGCATGCTCTTGTCTAACAGCGCTTGCCTGTCTAGTGGAGGTTAATGCTTGCTACACGTCACTGCATGCATAGAGTGCTCTGTATGTTCTGCTGAATACAATGATCAACATGTCATTCATTTATAAAGAGATGTGTAAGTAAACAAGTTCATACTGGAGAGCATCCTTAGACCATATGTGCAATACGGGTGCACGGCTACTGAGACAATGCAAATCCAAATATGGATGTCAGAATTCCAGTGTATAGTCAACAAATGATGAAACTTCAGTTAAGTTGACAAACATGTGTCATACATGTTACACAGTTTAAATAAGCTAATCACCTACAAAACAACACCAATCACAGTATATGTCCCATAAGGTGTGATTGCAACCTCCTAAATTAAGCCACAGTCCAACATAGTAAGAATTATAGCCAAAAGTCTACGGAAAAGAATATGCCAAACGCTGACCTCATCTCACTGATCCTGGGAACAGGGATCTTGCAAGATCAGCTGGAGTCTGTTTGACCATAGGCAAAATTGCATCAGTGCATACTGACAGCCGGAGGAGGTGTCACACTAGGGGCAGAGACAGCAGGCATGCCAGGAGTACCCATAACCTAGTAACTGGACTTCAGCCACAGAAAGCATTGAAGCATCAGGATGCCCATCTAATGCCCTTAAATAGTGCATGATGAGTAAATGAAAAGAGATCTCAATGGGGAGGATTGTGAGCTTGCAACAGGCACACACTATGGCAGGAGCACACTCTGGCTGATTTTAAGAGGTCCCTATTTCAAGGGTCAGTGAGCTTAGGAAGGGTACGTGCCACATTGTTCCTTAGTCTTTTGACTATCCTTCTTACTTTTGCTGGATTTGGGCTTGAGGATGGTACAATCACACTATATGGGGGGGCATCCATTCTGATTAGTGTTTGTTTCATTAGTTGTTAGCCCTATTTAACTATGTAAACCAGCTCTTACACCTGTACACCCCCTATGGACCAGACAAGACTAACAAGACTTTCTTTTGATTATATTGTCTTGTAAAAATGATTTTATTAAAAAAATATTGTTACTGTAGATAAATGGAATATGCTACAATAAGGTCTGTTTCTCTCCTGTTCATTGAAGGACACAGGGCAACAGATCGTAGATTCTGTAAGGTAAGGTAAATCACCACCTGCAGGAGTAGGACGCTAGGCACATAACAAAAGACATAGACAGCCTAGGGGCGGCCCCTGCTGGTGGCCCAACCCCCCACCTGCTGTCAAGTCTTCAGTTTTTTGCCTAGCGTCAGGAGTAAGGAGCTAAAAAAAAATTCTCTGACATTTTTTTTCCTTACGTTTTTTCGCGATTCTTCTAGCAAGTGTCACCAGGGCGACATGCTGGATGTTGATGGATCCTGGTAGTCTTCCCTGGGTGGCCATCGAACGCATGCAGGCTCTGCCACGGTGGGTCGTCTGCGACTTTCCGTTCCTTGGGGTGCACATGACGGGGTCCCGGCCCACCTGTCACAGCACTCCCCATGGGCTAGCGGCGCCGCGTCTACGGTCGGGGGTGCTCGCTTTCCTTCACTTCCCTGCACACCTGGGCCTGGTGGTGAGTATGCTACGGTGCCTGCGCTGTGGGGACAGATACAGGTAAGAGGCTGCGCGGGTCCCTGTCTGCAGCCTTACTGCTCCCCCCCCTCCCTGTCTCTCCCTCATGGTGGCCTTCGTACTTGCCTGGGTGTGGGTGACTCTGCCCTTCCTGGGCTGTCCTGGCCCGTGGGGTGCCTCTGGTGCTGCAGGCTGTGCTGAGGGGGCTAGCTGTGCAGTCGCGGCCGCGGGTGGCGCGACCAT